TGGTGATCCCAAATATCACCGTCCCAGCCCTTAAAACCCTTTTCTTCATGAATAAAATCTCAAAATACTGAAAAAGACCTTAAAAACCCTCTACTTTTCATTTTTGAAAAACGTTTCGTAGTTTTTTTCCTTTATGATTTTGAGACTCGAGCTTCATATGTTTGGATTTCTTATTTAAAACTAAATCTAGTCAGGGTATTTTTAAGCCTTTAAAACTAAAAGTGAAAGTTTGTCAAAGTCTCAAACGTTTAAAGATCCATTCTCGAAGACCTCTGTTTACAAACCCCACTCATTTTTTGTGTGAAGGACTAGACCTTTGACTCACACAAGGTCAGATCTACCATCAAACCAGCTTTAAAAGTACGTAGAGGGTTTTTTAAATTTTGTTACATTGCTGAGAAAGTTCGTTTTTTCGAAGTCAAAAACTGAGTTGAGTGCTTTGTATTTCTACCCTGTCCGATTACTTTAATTATTTTCGAACTTTTACGTTGAAAAATTACCACTAAAAACTGATTACAGATTTTCACCCCAAACTGAAAATCAACGAAAAGTTTCGAAATACACATCACTCGACTTCGTTTTTGATCCTGATGCTGAATATGATATTTGCGTTGCTCAAAAGTCGAGTATTGATGGAGAAAATTCATAATTACCTTATTTGTAACTAGTAACGAGTAACTAATTTCGCTACTTCGTTCCTTTTGTTATTTCTTTAGAAAGTAACGGTTTTTCGTTACTTTCTGGAGGAGTAACGAAAGTAACGAAATGAGTTACTCGTTACTAGTAACTAGTAACGAAGTGACTGACTAGTAAAGTGCCCCCCTAGGCACAAGTACATTCTGGAAACATTTACTCGGGTAGTACTTCCTTTAGAAATTTTAGAATTTCCTGTCCTTGTAAAAACTCTAGAAACATTCTGAAACGTTAACTATGTGAAAAAACAGCATTGATTTTGTGTCGGTTTTGATCTCTTGTCGGCAAAAAAAATACTCTTCACCTTTTTCTTGAAGAATTTTTGATAGTCGAGACGTACGGCTTCTGTCATTCGAAAGCCAGAACTTAAGTACATTTTTCTGTAATAATTTTAACTTTGATCCTTCTCTCAAAGCGGAATATGCAGGACTTGTCAGAAAATCAGTTATTATAGCTGAAAAACTTGAAATGTAACACTTTTTGTTTTTTCCTCATGAGCTGATAGCCTCGAGTATTCTCCAAAGATACGAGTTAGAGAACATCTTCTGTATCAGTCGTAAAGGTGTAGCATCATATTTCTTCGTAACGATAGGTTTGCTCTCAAATGAGCTATGGAAACTACAAGAATGACTGAGACATACATTGTAAAAACTAAGGTGTATAAATGATGTACACGTTCATTCATTCGTCATAAAAAATTGTGTATTTGTTTAACGAAGGAAAGCACAGTTATAAACAAATTTTAAGTACGTGAAGAAAAAAGTTTGCGGTTGTGTTTAAGTTGGAAAACAGGTAGAAAAAAAAATTAATTTGAGAAATCATGAAAACCACATTCGAAAATGTACATGCTGTCATTTTCAGTAGCAACAGATGACAGCAAACTGGAAACAAAAAATAGTCAAGTTTTGTGAGATTCAGGCATCTTTTCTATGGTTTCCAGACATCTGTAGTGTAAAGTGTTCGAACAACTAAAATATATTTTTTACAAAGTTACTGTACACGCTGAGTTACGCCGCATCGGCGTCGAAGTAATTTAAAATCAGATAAAGCTCACTCACAAAAGATTTGATTCGTTCCCCTTACGATTCTGTCGTATAATGCTTCCAAAAGTCATTTGTTGATAATATCAGACAACCTCAAATTTTACCTTCTAAAAGAGGAATTCTCCAGCTAAAACCACTTTGAAGATTATCCTTAATATGAACACCTAGTTCGACGTACAGGATGTCTTTTTTTCGCAGAACATTTCTAACTCAAGTTATCATAGTGCAGTACTTGATTTTATAATTTGTAAAGAACAGCAGACCCTCCGGTTACTTTTCGAATGACTTTTGACAGAAATGCAATAGAGACTTGCAGGTTACACCATTCGACAAAAGCGACTTGCGATCATGTTTCCAAAAAAAACATTCTTTTCAGAAGGGTTTCGTAAAATAGATCTTCTAGGAGCTCTTTGGAAAATTTGGTTGTGCGTTAGAGACTTTTGATAGAATTATATTGATTTTTTTCATGGATTGATAGTGTAGAATGCCCTCTTCAAAATAGGAGTTAAGCGAGATCTTAATTTTCAGTATATGGAGTATGGAATCGAATCTGCTTGAAGTTCCAAGACTGGTACTCTCCGACTACTGATAACCTCAGAAATGAGTAGATTATAGGTAATTAATCATGTTAAGTCTTGTGGCAATATTTGTTTTTAAAAATAGATTTCAAAAACTTACGAAAGCCACGTTTCAAAAATCAGGGTTTTCCGTCTGTTTTCACCTAATATTCAAAAATTCATTTTTCATTCAGAAGCTACTACCTCCCCCATAATAGAAGACCACCTGGTCTTCTATTTTGTCCCGCAAGTCGAGTTCTAAAGGATGGTCTTCTATTACGGTCAAATTTTGTCGCCTGTTAGTAGTCCAACGGTAACCTCACGTACTTGAAGTCCGTCCGCTATTAGTAGTACGTTTTGGCGACACTTTTTTGAGAATTTCCCTATAGCTAGGGCATTTTGCGATTTTTTTCACAAACATAATAGAAGACCATGATGTTCTATTTGGCTTTCAAGTCATATGATCGGCAGTGATCTTCTAATAGAGGATGGTCTTCTATTATGGGAGGAGGGAGGGTGTGTGTAACGGCCATGTCCGTTACTGCTCGCCAAGAACAGCGATACTATTTCTAAGGACTCCAAGTTAGGTTAGAATAATGTAAGTATATGTCTTTTTGCTTAGTTCGCGATTTTTCTATTTTTTGTTTGGAAGTTTTAAGAAAGAAAAGGTTCAATTAGTGCTTTGCTTCTTTCTACTTATTTCGACATTTTCTTTTAGTTATTTTGTTGGCGGATTTTTGAGAGAGGAAAAATAAGAATATTAAAAATGTTAATTAATAGTTTATTTTATCAATAATATTTGTTGTTCCTCGATTACACGAAAAACGAGTTGTAATCAGGAGAAAATGTAAAATTATTTTCATTCTTGTCAATTTTTAACTTAAAATTCAGATCTCTTCTTCTTCTCGCTCTCTCTCACATTTATAGAGGAGAATTCTTCTGATTAATCTTCAAATTCAAAACACTTCTTCTTCTCTCATATACAGGGAAGGAGGAGCTATAGTTTATATAAATTAAATTTTATATTTAATTTATATTTAATATTTTATAATTTAGTATTTTAGTTTGCAATATTTATTTTCTTTTCGCCTTCCTTACATCAGCATCACGATTTCCGCCACCTCCTCTCGAAACAACAAAGTAGAACATTAGCTATTTTATTGAACTTCAACATTGTACAAATAGTTTTTTGTACAAAACTTTTATCGTTCAACTTAAATACGAACCGGTCCTTTTTGTTAATAAAATGATCAAATTCTCGTATCTAAAGGTAATATGAAGTTTTTCTGAACATATTATTTTGTAGAGCGGATTCTACGCTATAATCCCACATCATCGAAAATATTTGATCACAAACAATGTTGAAAATAAACATGTTTGTTAAAGCACACCTCATTTTTTTTCAGTTTTATCTGATGCACGCCTGAATAAGGTTTTTTATTCGCTATTAAGCCCCCCACCCTCCCCCATCTGTCTTTTCCGATAAAAAGACAGATCCATAATACTTTGAATAAGACCAGAAAATAGAGCAAACATTTGTGACCAAGATGAGATATCTGTCGGCTCTGAATGATGTTCGGAGCAGGAGTTATGAGCGTTTTGCTGGAAGCCTTAAAACATGCATCAGATACTGGAGCTTTCGCCTTAACACCTTTTCGTAGCTGCAATATTTCTGAGCAACAAAATGTTGCAGAGAGCTAGGGAAGATCCTAAGTTGAAGCTGACACATGTAGCTAAAGGATAATATGAGCCTCTAGCCACATGTGTTTTCTTCAGCCTAACACAAGCCTGAGCTCTCCACAACGTTTCGTTATTGAGAAATCCTGCAGCTAAAAATCGCCCCATTTTGGTCACTGTTGTGGCAACATCTCACAAACCATGCCACATGGAGCCAAACAAAAAAATTCGTGGCCATATTTTCACAAGATCAGCATATCCTAAAAGTTTGGTGATGATCAAACTTATGGTTTCAGAGCTAGATTTCTGAGGGGAGGGGAACACACTTTTTCTTCTCTGTTCAATATTTTGGAGAAGAAAAGCCTGAGCACGTTATTACGTACTATATTACTAAAATTTGCCGTTTTTTTGAGCAGAGCAAAATTCTGCTACGGTTCAAGCGTATTTTACCGTCTGTGTTGCTGTCTGAAGGCGTTTTAATGTGTTTTTACATGGAAATGTTGTACTAGCAAAAACAAATATAAACTATTTTGAAGACAGTTTTTTAAATAAAATGCATATCTTTTGTCACAATCTAAGCTTTCACGGAAAAGGAAAATGTCTTATTGCTCCTACGGATATTCTTAAGTGTATTTTTTGATACGTCCGACGACTGTTGCCTCAACTATAAGTATGCTCAAAAACTCAAGTCAGTGTCAACTTGTCCAAATGATACAGCGAACAATTAACTTTGAGACTTCTGTATTAAAAGCGTTCAAACCAGAACATTGCCATTTCTTCTAAAATTTAGTCTGATCAAGATTGTTCCTAGACTGAATCTGTCGCTGTTTCGATTGTTACGAAAAAATAAAGAATGATTCTAAACTAATATACGAAAAAAAAAAGATATAGAAAGGCAAATTCATTGAAGCGTAAACAAACACATTTCATCTTTCTTTTATAAATAGTGAGACGCGAATGATATCTGAAACAGATATTTTATAGGTTCGTTGTTATAGTTTGGTTAGAACGCATAATAAAAGCAACCATCATGGATCTACCACATATTGACTTATCAAAATTTGATGGTATAGCATTTATTTGGTTTGATGCTGAAATGACTAGTGGTATAGAAGTGTATAACACTCTAAGTTCGCCGGATGAATGGGTTATTTATGGAAGAATAGATTCATGTGAAGAATCCATACGTGATCGTTTAAAAAATAAACGAATATTTTTGGTAACATCCGGCCGTTTGGGTAATAAAATTGTTGGATCGATTCATGATCTTCCACAGTTACATTTGATTTATGTCTTTTGTCAAGATATTAAACGTCATTCAGAATGGGCTGATACGTTTACTAAAATACAATTAGTCTGTAACAATGAGAAAGATCTAATATCAAACTTAGCAATTGACGTAGCAAAAATGTGTGTAAATATCGGTGATCAACATTCAAAACTAAATGAACATAAAAACGCATTAGTATGGTACGAAAGAGGACTTGAAAAGATGAAACAATACGATGGTCCAACCAAAAATGAATTAACCAAAAATGAATTAACCAAAAATGAATTTGTCAATTCATTAAGATATAAAATAGATAGGAGTACAGCAGCATGTCGGGTAAGAAATCAGTCCTACTATTAGTAACCCATAGTAAAGACGTAAGCGAACATGTAGAAGAAAAATGCGTCTTTCTACAATCGTCTACAATTAAAGAGTTTTCTACGACATTATTCTACGACATTATTGCGCTTTCGAAAAGAAATCTGTCTGGTATAGGTCTGTTTAATATCTAACCATTTTTTCAGTGAAAGGTATCTCACAGACCCATAAACATTCGAATGAGGTTGTAAATTTAGACATGT